CGGCGCCGCTGTGGCAGCCGGAGCCGCTGCAGCTGCAGCACCCCCCTGTGCATCCCTGTGGGTGCCTGCGGGTGCTGGCCGCGCTCCGGCGCCCTGAGCTGCACCCGCTCCCAGCGGCTGTGCCCCAGTCACCCGGCGGGATGGGCTGGCGATTCGGGGATGCTGCGCAGGGAGATGCTGGGCGGGGACGCCCGGGCAGCCAAGCGAGCACAGCAGCCGGGGCAGCAGCTCCTGGCACCGCCCGCAGCCCGGCCTCACGGTGCACCCGCCGCTGCCAGGTGTCCCACGCACCGCAGCCATGGCGAACAAGGGCCCCGCGTACGGCATGAGCCGGGACGTGCAGTCCAAGATCGAGAAGAAGTACGACGAGGAGCTGGAGGACCGGCTCGTGGAGTGGATCGTGGCGCAGTGCGGCTCCTCCGTGGGCCGCCCCGACCGCGGCCGCCTGGGCTTCCAGGTCTGGCTGAAGAACGGCATCGTAAGTGCTGCGTCGCGGAGCCGCCGTGCCCGCCGTGCCCACCGCGGCCGTGCGTGTGCCCATGCCCGCCGTACCGGTGCTGAGCACGGCCTCTCGCCCCGGCAGGTGCTCAGCCAGCTGGTGAACAGCCTCTACCCCGACGGCTCCAAGCCCGTCAAGATCCCCGAGGCGCCGCCCACCATGGTCTTCAAGCAGATGGAGCAGATCGCGCAGTTCCTCAAGGCGGCCGAGGACTACGGCGTCGTCAAGACAGACATGTTCCAGACCGTGGACCTCTTCGAGGGTGCGTGGGGCGGGCGGGTGCGCGCCGGGGGGGCCGGGACCGGGCCGCGCTCACACGCCTCCTCCCTCCACAGCCAAGGACATGGCCGCGGTGCAGAGGACGCTGGTGGCCCTGGGGAGCCTCGCGGTGACCAAGAACGACGGCCACTATCACGGGGACCCCAACTGGTTCATGAAGTAAGTGGGGCCCCCGGGACCCTCTGCGTCCCCTGCTTCCCCTTGGGGCTGGGCTTGGCCTTCCACGGTGGCACCTGGCGGGCACGTGTCCGCGGGCTGCCCGCCTTGGGGGTGCGTTTGGGGCCCTGCACAGGTGGCGGTGGCCCACATGTGCCACGTGCCCCACGCTCGCCCGCAGGAAGGCGCAGGAGCACAAGCGCGACTTCACCGAGAGCCAGCTGAAGGAGGGCAAGAACGTCATCGGCCTACAGATGGGCAGCAACAAGGGCGCGTCACAGGCGGGCATGAGCTACGGGCGGCCCCGGCAGATCATCAGCTAGGCCGCCGGCCCGCGCCGCAGCCGACCCTCGGCCCGCGCCCCCGCCCTGCGCCCCGCGCCCCCCGCTATTTATTGGAAGCACCGAG